GATTAAAAAAATAAAATCACAAATTCAGTGTCATTTATTCTAATAAACTGTACTTTTTTATATATAGTTTATTTTTGTACCCGTACTGTCAAACAAACTGATTTGTTTGACAGTGCGCTTTATTTCACGACCATCCATTTTCCTAAGGTTGATGGTAAATAATTGAGCGCCAAGGACGAAAACATCTGTCAAGTCTACGAACCACTCTAAAACCCCACAAATGTGCATTTGTTAATAAGGGGTGAAGGAGTGATTCTGTACGGCTCTGAGAGCAGGGCAGCAAAGTCAGCCAAGCGCGTTAATCACGGCAGTTCAACTAGTCGTATGGGTGGCACACATGACAGGCAGATTTCTGCTCGGCTCATTTCACAACCCTCTTCCTCCTTATACCGACGTATAATTTTTATATACTTTTAAAGGACAGACATATCGCTATGTTCTCTCAATCAAGACAAAAAAGCACTTCAGATTAAGATTAAGGTAAAAGCTTTTTTCTTGGTTAAATATTGAAAACATCAGTATACTGCGGACCACGTTTCAATTCATGGTTAACTTGGACAAGTACACACACTTTCAGTATGAACATTTTGTGATTTTGCAGACTGAGTTTAATGAAAAACATTTTTATGTTGATGAAAAACAATTTTGGTGGCGTCTAAGAGAAGCGGTTTTATATGCTGGTAAAAGTGTAGAGTCAAGAGCTTTGTGCAGGCACATGTACATTTTCCATCTTCTGATTCAGATGACATTATCACAAAGAAAAAAAACACTGTCAAGTTCATTATGGGTTGGACATCATTTGTATAGATGGTAGAGTATGTTCTTTTGTTGGCTTTAGGGAGCACTTCACAATGGAAAACAGCCTCTGGGAAAAAATGACATTTTTACTTCAGTGCTAACAAAAAGGTAAATCAAAGACGAAATCTGTTCTAGGATGCCATCTGGACCCAGTGGAGGTGGTGAGTGACAGGAGAATGGTGGCTAAGCTGTCATCCCAGTTGGACAACATCTCCCACCCCATGCAGGAGACTCTGACAGCTCTGAGCAGCTCCTTCAGTGGCTGCAGCACCCACGATGTGGGACAGAAAGATTTCGCAGGTCTTTCCTCCCCACAGCTGTCAGACTCCACAACAAAGCCTTTTGCAGCTGATCAAACACACAAACCCACA